GCTGATCGCACAAGCTACTGTTTGTAACAGTTTTATTGACTTTACTTATTTAATAATAAATAAATGTACTAAACTTTTATGATTTTTTTTTAAAAAGTAATTTTTAAACAAAAAAATGGACGTACTTTTATTTTTTTAATTTATCCTATACTTTGATCTTTAATGACATCCACACTCCTGTCTATCCCGATTGCAGACAAGTAGAAAGGGAGAGGATCTTCATTTGACAACTGTAGCTGCAGAATGTGTGGTACTATTTTCTGTTTGCAGCGCCACACACTTGTCCGCCAAATCAAAGTTGCTGGGGATTGTGGGAGTCGGAAGTATGGTGCCAGGTAATTTTCATGCCTGAGTTTGATTTCTGGAGTTAATCAGGGGGAATTGGAATTGGCCAAATGTTTCTTGCCTTCCTCTCTCCTTTTAATCGCCGTTCACCACTTCGTACCTATTTTTTTCCCACGACCCTTCATTTTTTTTGTAATTTTTATTTATTTACTTTTTAAAATTTTAGATATCTATTATTTTTTTTTCCACGACCCTTATTCCCTTTTACCCTTCATTTATTTCTAGCTCTCATTTATTGAAAAAAAAAAAAGAATATTTCAGAAAATCTATTACCAATTTTTGAAGTTCTTATAACCTCATCCTTAAAAAAGTAAATTTAAAAAATTAACGAAAAAGTTTGAACTATAAAACAAAATCCGTCCTTTTCCGTAACCAGATTCAGAAAATAACCCAACCCGTGTCTGCCGAACGAAATTCTAAAACTCGACCCCGGTGAGAAAAGGGAGGGTAATTGTAGTCCACTCCCAAGGGTAGAACGGTCATTTGGGTGGATTTTCGGGTGCCGTTAGCCACCGGTGGAAACACGTATATATAGTTTGAGCGCCCCCTTAGAATCATCCATCGCATCCACATCCTTGTCTCTCTCAACTGCAGCTATAAGTAAAAAGCTCTCTCTCGTAATATTTGGAGGAGGAGAGAGAAATACTGGAGGAAGAGGAGAGAGAAATACGATCGATGTCTCCGTAAATTGTTTTAGACTCTTTTCTTGCATCAATCTCGTGTAGTTACAAGATCTATTTCAGGTAATTTCCATGAAGTTTTAACGGATAAGGAAAAACAGTGTTTATTGAGTTTTGGAGATGTTTGTTTTCATTTGGCTGATTTTATGTTCCAACTCATCGTCTTGCTCTGTTCTTCATCCGCTTTTGACTTTCTCAGTGTTCTTAATCGTCGTTGAGTTCGCGACCGCTTTTTTCCACGAGCCTTTAATTTCCTATGCTACTTTTTTTTGTTTATTTTAATTTATATGTTTGAATTCTGCGGTTTTCTTGTTTTATTTTAAACTCATTTGGCCGGTGATGTTATAAACCCGATTGGGTAGCGGGTAATTTGGGATCTTCCCAGCTTCCCAGCCCGAGGCGGGTAATTTGGGATCTTCACAGCCCATACATACATAGGAGGGTAATTTGTGGTAATTTGGGATCTTCCCAGCCCATACATAGGAGGGTAATTTGCAGTAATTTGGGATCTTCTCAGCCCATACATAGGAGGGTAATTTGCGGTAATTTGGGATCTTCCCAGCCCATACATAGGAGGGTAATTTGCGGTAATTTGGGATCTTCTCAGCCCATACATAGGAGGGTAATTTGCGGTAATTAGGGATCTTCCCAACCCATACATAGGAGGGGGTAATTAGGGATCTTCCCAGCCCATACATAGGAGGCAGGTATTCTTAGCCCATACATAGGAGGTAGGTATTTTTAGCCCATACATAGGAGGCAGGTATTCTGAGCCCATACATAGGAGGTAGGTATTTTTAGCCCATACATAGGAGGCAGGTATTCTGAGATATTCTGGTAGGTAATCTGAGACCCATACATTGGAGGCAAGTAATCTGAGATATTCTTAACCCATACATAGGAGGCCAGTATTCCCAGCCCATATAGGAGGCAGGTAATTTAGGCCCATACATAGGTAGGTAATTTGGGATATTCCCAGCCCATACATGGGAGACAAGTAATTTGGGATATTCACCGCTCATACATGGGAGACAAGTAATTTGGGATATTCACAAGTAATTTGGGATATTCACAGCTCATACATGAGAGGCAAGTAATTTGGGATATTCACAACTCATACATGGGAGACAAGTAATTTGGGATATTCACAACTCATACATAGGAGACAAGTAATTTGAGATATTCACAACCCATATAGAGTAGACATGTAATTTGGGATATTCCCAATTCATATAGAGTAGGCAGGTAATTTGGGATATTCCTAACCCATACAGAGTAGGCAGGTATTTGGGATATTCCCAACCCCACAGAGGCAGGTAATTTGGAATATCCCTAACCCACAGAGGCGCAGGTAATTTGAGATATTCTCAACCATAAAAAGGTAATTTGGGATATTATTCCCAATCCATAAAGGTGGGATATCCTCACATAGTACGCAGATAATTTGAGATATTTCGAACCCATCGTAATTTGGGGATATTCCAAACCATAAAAAGGTAATTTGGGATATTCCCAACCTATAAAGGCAGGTAATTTGGGATATCTCAACCCATACAGATTTGACAGGTAATTTGGGATATTCCCAACCCATACAGAGTAGACAGGTAATTTGGGATATTCTCAACCCATACAGAGTAGGTAGGTAATTTGGGATATTCCCAACCCATACAGAGTAGGCAGGTAATTTGGGATATTCCCAACCCATATAGAGTAGGCAGGTAATTTGAGACATTCCCAACCCATACAGAGTAGCAGGTAATTTGGGATATTCCCAACCCATACAGAGTAGGCAGGTAATTTGAGATAGTCCCAATCATAATAGGATGTAGGTAATTTGGGATATTCCCAATCATAATAGGATGTAGGTAATTTGGATATTCTCAACCATAAATAGGTAATTTGGGATATTCTCAACCCATACATGGGAGTCAGGTAATTTTGGATATTCCCAACCCAAGAGGCAGGTAATAATTTGGGATATTATTCACCTATACATAGGTAATGATTTGGGATATTACCAACGTATGCATAGGAGGCAGGTAATAATTTGAGATATTCCCAACTTATACCTAGGAGACAGTTAATAATTTGGGATATTCCCAACTACCTAGGAGATAGGTAATAATTTGGGATATTCCCAACTTATACTTAGGAGATCGGGAATAATGTGGGATATTCCCAACTACCTAGGAGACAGGTAATAATTTGGGATATTCTCTAACTTATATCTAGGAGACAGGTAACCATTTGAGATATTCACGGCCTATATAGAGGAGGCAGGTAATAATTTGAGATATTCCCAACATATACATAGGAGGCAGGTAATAATTTGAGATATTTCCAACGTATACATAGGAGACAAGTAATAATTTGAGGGCACGTAATTTGGGATATTCCAACGTGTACATATGAGGCAGGTAATTTGGGATATTCCCAACTACCTAGGAGACAGGTAATAATTTGGGATATTCTCAACTTATACCTAGGAGACAGGTAATAATTTGGGATATTCTCAACTTATACCTAGGAGACAGGTAATAATTTGGGATATTCTCAACTTATACCTAGGAGACAGGTAATAATTTGGGATATTCCCAACTACCTAAGAGACACGTAATAATTTGGGATATTCCCAACTACCTAGGAGGCAGGTAATAATTTGAGATATTCCCAACGTATACATAGGAGGCAGGTAATAATTTGAGATATTCCCAACGTATACATAGGAGGCAAGTAATAATTTGAGGCAGGTAATTTGGGATATTCCAATGTGTACCCAGGAGGCAGGTAAATTGGGATATTACCAATGTGTACATAGCAGGAAGGTAATAATTTGGGATATTTCCAATGTGTACATATGAGGCAGGTAATAATTTGGGATATTCCCAATGTATACATAGGAGACAGGTAATTTGGGATATTCCCAATGTATACATAGGAGGCAGGTAATAATTTGGGATATTCCCAATGTGTACATATGAGGAAGGTAATTTGGGATATTCCCAAGGTATACATACTAATAATTTGGGATATTCCCAATGTGGTGTACATATGAGGTAGGTAATAATTTGGGATATTCCCAATGTGGTGTACATATGAGGTAGGTAATAATTTGGGATATTCCCAATGTATACATAGGAGGCAGGTAATAATTTGGGATATTTCCAATGTATATATAGGAGGCAGGTAATAACTTGGGATATTCCCAACGTATACATAGTTGGTAGTACCCAACATACATAGGAGGCAAGTACTTTAGAATATTTCCAACGTGCATAAGAGGTAGGTACTTTGGGATATTCCCAATGTCCATAGGAGGTAGGTACTTGGGGATATTCCCAACGTGCATAGGAGGCAGGTACTTGAGGATATTCCCAACGTGCATAGGAGGCAGGTACTTTGGGATATTCCCAACGTGCATAGGCAGGTACTTTGGGATGATATTCCCAATGTGCATAGGAGGCAGGTAATTTGGGATGTTATTCCCAACGTGCATAGGAGTCAAGTAATTTGGGATGATATTCCCAACGTATATAGGAGGCAGGTAATTTGGGATTATATTCCCAACGTATATAGGAGGCAGGTAATTTGGGATTATATTCCCAACGTATATAGGAGGCATGTAATTTGGGATATCTCATGGTAATAGAAGGCAGGTAATTTGGGATATTCCCAACATATATTGGAGACATGTAATTTGAGATATTCCCAATGTATGTAGGAGTCCGTTAATTTGGGATATTCCCAATGTATACGGATTAATTTGGGATATTCTCCATGTATATAGGAGGCATGTAATTTGAGATATTCCCAACGAGGCAGGTAATTTTGGATATTACCTAGTGCCATTCATTATCTACACATAATTAATTATAAACATTATAAACTAAAAGTCATGCAATTAATTAATTTAATTAAACTAATGAACCTGCGCATGTATCTTTCAACACATACATGTACTTATAAACACAAGAAATGTTGCAGAGGATGGAAGTATTTGATGGGGAGAAAGTGATAGAGGAATTCGAGGAATTGACGAGAGATGCTGAAAGAGTTCAGGTGGAGACTCTGAAGAAGATTTTGGAGGAAAATGGGTGGGCTGAGTACTTGCAGAATTTGGGACTTAATGGAAGAACTGATCCTCAGAGCTTCAAGGAATGCGTCCCGCTTGCTACTCACGATGATTTTGAGGCATATATTCAGAGAATCGCCGATGGGGATTCTTCCCCTGTTCTCACTGGAAAACCAATCAAATCTATGTCGTTGAGGTACTTTTGCAAATTCATAGTACTGGAGATTTTGGTGTTGTTTTTTCTTCTAAGGACATTTTTGGTTGTACGATGTAGCTCTGGTACTACTAAGGGGAGGCCCAAGTTCATTCCCTTCAATGATTCACTGGTGGAGACGACAATGCAAACGTTTCTAACGTCTTTTGCCTTCAGAAACAGGTAATGAAACTGTCTTTTCTGGTCTCTGAATCGTTTGTTGTCTGAACTGAACAGCTTATTGGTTCGATTTGTTGTCTTTCTACTGTCTTTTTGAGTTCTGTATAGTGTAAAATGGGTGTTTGTCATGGCTGATCTGACTTCTTTGTGCTGCAGACAAGTTCCTATTGGCAATGGAAAAGCATTGCAGTTCATCTATAGCAGCAAGCAGTTCAAAACCAAGGGTGGTCTGGCAGCAGGAACTGCAACAACTAATGTTTTTCGCAGTCCGAAATTCAAAAGCATGATGAAATCAATCCAGTCGCAATGCTGTAGCCCAGACGAGGTCATCTTTGGCTCCGACGTCCACCAATCTTTGTATTGCCATCTCTTGTGTGGGCTGATCTACCGAGATGAAGTTGAGTTGGTGTACTCCTCTTTTGCACACAGCATTATCCTTGCTTTCAGGACTTTTGAGCAAGTATGGGAAGAGCTCTGCAGCAACATTCGAGACGGGGTTCTCTCGAGTTGGGTCATTGATCCCTCCATTCGTGCAGCCATGTCGAAATTGCTTAAGCCAGATCCTGAATTGGCTGATTTGATCTATAAAAAATGTGCAGGATTGAGTAATTGGTCTGGGCTGATACCAGAGCTCTTTCCCAATGCGAAGTATATACATGGGATCATGACAGGCTCTATGGAGCCTTACCTGATGAAACTGAGGCACTACGCGGGGCATTTGCCGCTGATGAGTGCCGATTATGGCTCTTCAGAAGGATGGATTGGACCTAACGTTAACCCATTGTTGCCCCCTGAATTGACCACCTTTGCTGTGCTTCCAAACGTTGGATACTTCGAGTTCATCCCGCTTAAAGCGAATGCTCAAGATCAGGAACAGGAGGGAGCGCAGGAGAACAAGCCGGTCGGACTGACTGAAGTCAAGATCGGTGAAGAGTATGAAATAGTTGTCACCAATGTTGCAGGTAATTCCTTACAATTCATGACCTTGCTTGAACGGGATCATTTCTAGACATCGTGAATTCACGCTTACTTGCAAGATATCTAGAAGCAGTTTACCATGGTTGTTGCAGGGCTATACCGTTATAGATTAGGAGATGTGGTGAAAGTGATTGGGTTCCACAACGCAACGCCAGAGCTGAAATTTGTGTGTCGGAGCAACATTCTGCCCAGCATCAACATCGACAAGATCTCGGAGAAGGACCTGCAGCTGGCAGTGGAAGCAGCAAGGAATGTAGTGGCAGCAGAGAAGCTGGAACTGGTGGAGTTCACAAGCCATGTGGACATGTCGAGCGAGCCGGGGCATTATGTGATATTCTGGGAGATAAGCGGGGAGGCAAAGGAGGAGGTGCTGAGAGAGTGCTGCAACCGTCTGGACAAGGCGTTCCAGGATGCGGGGTACGTGAGCTCGAGAGAGGTGAAGGCCATTGGAGCCCTGGAGCTTAGGGTGGTCCGTAAGGGAACTTTCTGTAAGATCATGGAACATTCTCTGTCCTTAGGATCGACTATGAATCAGTACAAAACCCCTCGTGCTGTTAGCTCCACCAACACCACTGTCCTCCACATCTTGTGCTCCAATGTTGTCAACTCCTATTTCAGTACTGCCTTCTAAGTTTTTGCTTTCCTTGTCTCCCTGTTCTCCCCACAGCGCATGTCACCACAGCTTCTCCCCTATCCCCGTCGCCCATGTACCATCCTTCTCTGTACAATAATGTACAATCAAATTATTTGGTTAAAAGGTGAATACTATTCTAATTTTTATACGCTCCATATCTAGCATTCTGGATTCATATTAGGCAACTAATTTTTGTTATTTATACATAACATAGGTCTGTCGATTCACCATTAGATAAAATATATATATATATTTTTAAAAAATTATAAAGAGGTTTAAATTATTTTATCTACACAAGTGTTCTATGTCGATAAAAAAAAAGTCTATTTGAAACAATTTATGTATTAACATAATAGTAGAAAGAGTACCAATGAGTAGTGGATTTGACTGTTTTTTTTTTCTTTTTTATGTTAAAAAGTCTCTGGAAGACTTGCAGTAGATGTGAAAAAGAAAAGAAACATGTTACACGGAAAGAATGGATGGGAAGTGGACGGAGTGAGTTTGCTTGTTTCTTTTTTCAGTCGGAGTGGGATTTCACAATTTACCCCCATTTAGCATCTAGCATTCTTGTTGGCACACCGTCGATATCCACTCCATTTTTTTTTTTTTAAGGTACAAGTAAATATGGGGAGGTGTTCGAAAGCTGCATTGTCACAATGGTGTCGTTTGAGGAGCATCTTTTAGAGTTTTTTATATTTTTCTTCCCTTATATTTCTAGGAGTAATATTTAATTTTAATTTCATATTTAATTTGGGTGGGATTGACTTGTTTTAAATTTTTTAAATTTTATTTGTTTTGGATTTTGTGTTTTAGTGTTTTTGAAAGCCTCGAAAATGGGGGTGACGGTTAGGACCTTTAATGGCATCCACACCCCTGTCTCTCCCCATTGCAGCCAGGTAGATATTACTCTCTCTCTCTCTCAGAGAGAGGATCTTCATTTGGCAACTGTATCTGCAGATTGTGTGGTACTATTTTCTACTTGTCCGCCAAATAAAATAAAAAATGCTGATGGTGGGAGTAGGAGGTATGGTGGCAGGTATATATTTTGAGCGCCCCTTAGAATCATCCCTCGCATTCACATCGTTGTCTCTCCCAACTGCACCCAGGTAAAAAGCTATATAAGGCCCCTCCCTCTCTATAATCTTTGGAGGAGGAGAGACAGAAATACCATCTACTTTTGGCCACTGTTGTATTGGTAGATTGTTTTAGACTCTTTTCTTGCATCAATCTCGTGTCCTTCCAAGTTTTGTTTCAGGTAATTTCCATGAAGTTTTAACGGATAAGGAAAAACAGTGTTTCTTAATTCTGATTGAGGTTTATTGGTTTTGGAAATGTTTGTTTTCATTTTGCTGATTACATCTTCCAACTCATCCTCATGCTCTGTTCTTCATTTGGTCGTTGTTGGTATAAACCCGACTGGGTGGCCGTCAATATCAGTTCCTTTGTTCTGTTGATTTTATACGTATATCTATTCATACATGTTCTTATACGTGCATTATTTATACATGTATCTATTTTGTGACCTTTCAACACATCACTATACAGGTATATTGTATCTCCAAGTGAGTGACCCTTCAATACTAAAATCTAAAATCTAAAATCCTCTAGAATGTTGCAGAGGATGGAAGTATTTGATGGGGAGAAAGTGATAAAGGAATTCGAGGAAATGACGAAAGATGCTGAAAGAGTTCAGATGGAGACTCTGAAGAAGATTTTGGAGGAAAATGGGTGGGCTGAGTACTTGCAGAATTTGGGACTTAATGGAAGAACTGATCCTCAGAGCTTCAAGGAATGCGTCCCGCTTGCTACTCACGATGATTTTGAGGCATATATTCAGAAAATCGCGGATGGGGATTCTTCCCCTATTCTCACTGGAAAACCAATCGAATCTATGTCGTTGAGGTTCTTTTGCAAATTCGTAGAACTGGAGATTTTGTTGTTGTTTTTTTTCTTCTTCTAAGGAGTTTTTTGGTTGGTTGTACGATGTAGCTCTGGTACTACTAAGGGGAGGCCTAAGTTCATTCCCTTCAATGATTCACTGTTCGAGACGACAATGCAAATTTTTCAAACGTCTTTTGCCTTCAGAAACAAGTAATGAAACTGTCTTTTCTGCTCTGAATCATTTGTTGTCTGAACTGAACAGCTTAATGGTTTGAGTTGTGTATAGTGTAAAATTGGTGTCACTACTTTGTCCTTCAGACAAGTTCCTCTTGGCAATGGAAAAGCATTGCAGTTCGTCTATAGCAGCAAGCAGTTCAAAACCAAGGGTGGTCTGGCAGCAGGAGCTGCAACAACTAACGTTTACCGTAACCCGAAATTCAAAACCACGATGAAAGCAATCCAGTCGCAAAGTTGCAGTCCAGATGAGGTCATCTTTGGCTCCGACTTCCACCAATCTTTGTATTGCCATCTCTTGTGTGGCCTGATCTCCCGAGATGAAATTGAGTCGGTGTCCTCCCCTTTTGCGCACAGCATTATCCTTCCTTTCAAGACTTTTGAGCAAGTATGGGAAGAGCTCTGCACCAACATTCGAGACGGGGTTCTCTCGAGTTGGGTCACTGATCCCTCCATTCGTGCAGCCATGTCGAAATTGCTTAAGCCAGATCCTGAATTGGCTGATTTGATCTATGAAAAATGTGCAGGATTGAGTAATTGGTATGGATTGATACCAGAGCTCTTTCCCAATGCGAAGTACATTTATGGGATCATGACAGGCTCGATGGAGCCTTACCTGATGAAACTGAGGCACTACGCGGGGCATTTGCCGCTGATAAGTGCCGATTATGGTGCTTCAGAAGGATGGATTGGAGTTAATGTTAACCCGATGTTGCCCCCTGAAATGGCCACCTTCGCTGTAATTCCAAACATTGGATACTTCGAGTTCATCCCGCTTAAAGCGAATGCTCAAGATCAGGAGCAAGAGGGAGATGGAGCTTTGGTGCTGCAGGAGAACAAGCCGGTTGGTCTGACCGAAGTCAAGATCGGTGAAGAGTACGAAATAGTTGTCACCAATGTTGCAGGTACGACCTTGCTTTCAAGATATCTAGAAGTGTCCATAAGCCTCATAATACTAACCGAAGCGTTTATTACGGTCATTGCAGGGCTGTACCGTTATAGATTAGGAGACGTGGTGAAAGTGATGGGGTTCCACAATGCAACACCAGAGCTGAAATTTGTGTGCCGAAGCAACCTTCTGCTGAGCATCAACACGGACAAGATCACGGAGAAGGACCTGCAGCTGGCAGTGGAAGCAGCAAGGAACGTACTGGCAGCAGAGAAGCTGGAACTGGTGGAGTTCACAAGCCATGCAGACATAACAAGCGAGCCGGGGCACTATGTGATATTCTTGGAGATAAGCGGGGAGGCAAAGGAGGAGGTGCTGAGAGAATGCTGCAACCGTCTGGACAAGGTGTTCCGGGAAGCGGGGTCCGTGAGCTGGAGAAAGGGGAAGGCCACTGGAGCCCTGGAGCTGAGGGTGGTCCGTAAGGGAACTTTTCATAAGATCATGGAACATTCTCTGTCCTTAGGATCGGCTATGAGTCAGTACAAAACCCCTCGTGCTGTTGGCTCCACCAACACCGCTGTCCTCCACATCTTGTGCTCCAATGTTGTCAACTCCTATTTCAGTACTGCCTTCTAAGTTTTCGCTTTCTTTGTCTCTCTTTTCTCCCCCACAGCTCCTCCCCTTCTTCCCCCCTCGCCCATGTACCATCATTCTCTATACAGTAATTTACAAGCAAATTATTAGGTTAATGGTTGGAATGCTATTCTAATCTTTATACTCTCCATATCGTATTCGGCCACTACCCTTTGCATCCCTTACAACACGATCACATTACTTACTCCTCGCTTTGTCTTCCAACATGTTTTGTCTCCACTTGTATGCATCTTAGGAAAATTTCCAAAACGTCACCCAACATAGAATTGTTTCGAGCAATGCACGCTAGTCATGGAATTCGTATGATTAAGATATTGAAAAAAAAAAAAAAAAAAAAGGAGCATCTTGCAAATAATCCCAAAAAATGTCCGTGCGTGCTAGAGACGGAGAAGACAAAGGCGAGGATAATGGGCCGTATCTCAATAATTTTGTAGTTGCATTGGCAGCTAGGCCCACAGTCTACATGCTCGAGGTGGACTAGGCCCATTGTCCCACACCTATATTTAAAATTTATTCTAATAATAATAATAACAATAAAAAGTATAGAAAATGGTTTTGTCTCTTGAGTGCACATAAAGCTAAAAACCCCAAGAGGAAAACAATGCTCTGCGTCACGGTCATACTTATTCAAAACGTATTATTCGTGCCTCCATGTGAAATGTCTCAGTCATGCTTGTTCAAAACGTGTTTTACATGGCCAATTACCATACTAAAATGCTTGAAAATGTAGCATTGGAGTATGTGATTAGTCGTAATTCTTCATATCTAAGTTGTATGGTATCAAAGTCGGTAAAAAAATAATAAATAAAAATGAGGATACAATGGGTTGTGCTTTGATTGGTCGAGGATTGAGGGGGGAAAAATGGAAATTAAAAAGGTGTTTTATTTCAAAGAAATTTGTAGCAGGCGAAGTGGTGGTTAAGAATTTTGTTTTTGTGAATTATTTTAATTCATAAAAAAGGCATTATTAATATTATAGGAAAAAAAAGAAAAAAGAAAAAAGAAAAAAGAAGAAGGGGTATTTAGGGGATTGGGAAGGAATGGGTCTGTTTGGGGTTTGGCTTTCACTTCTTTTCACAACCAACAGCCAAACACTCCCTTTGTCTCTCTCCTCTGTATTTTAAAAAAAAAAAAAAAAAAAAAAAAAAAAAAAAAAAAGATTTTTGTAAAAAGAGGTTGATTGGAGAGTATTCTTTTGTGGGGCCCACTTATTCTTCCACCCCACCAAAAGGGCAAAAAAGAAGCAAGTGGAGTGGCAATATCAAAAGCTTAAACTCCATGGGTGCCCTCTGCCTTTTGCTTTTGCTTTTGTTGGAGAAGCTTAAACAATTTCAAACATTCCAAAAAGAATTTTGATTTATTTCTTCAAATATTCCCAAACGAAAATTAATGATATTTGTTGCGTTCAGCTTTTTAGAATTTTGTAAATTACCTTTTAAATCTCACCATTTTCAACCTATTCTCTGTGGTCAAACATTCCAAAAAGATAA